CTGCTGTACCTGTTGCCTCTTCTGTGACTGGTAATGAGCTGACGTCGTCTACTCAGCTGCTGCCACGTGTCCCTCCTCCTGGAGCCTCACAGTGGGCTGAGGTGCTTCGCCTTGGCCTGCTGCCACCCCTACTCCGGCACCCCTCTCCCCCGGTACAGTGTGGTAACAATGGGTAACACGGTACATTGTGGTTATAAGATGTGGTAGTATTCAGGTATGGGTACTGGCCAGTGAAATGAATAGGCACCGACTAAGCAGGCAGCGCCTCTCTCACATCTCCCTTGCCCAGTAACAGACAGCCTACGGTGATACAGAGAGCCATGACACGGAAAGGCGAGGCGGTAAGGATATGGCAATACGGGGTATGGTATGCCATTAAGGGGTGTCGGAGCCATTCTTCCCACCACACTAGATCTGCATTGTCTCTTTCCTGTCCCTCTCCATCGCCTCTTCCTCCCACACTAGATCTGTATGGCAGTGCTCACATACACATGCCATGCCAACCTACAGTTCACCTGGAGCACTTACACACCGCCCTTCCTCGCTTCCTGAATCCCCACACCCTCTACTGCCGCCCCCCCTCCCCCACCAGGTGCGCCTGGCAGCACTCACATGCTTCCTGCACATGCCAGCGCCCACCCTGCTGTACCTCTCCCACATGCATGACGTCATCTTCCAGCCAATGGTATGCTTCCTTCCATGTGCCCACCTCTCTTGCCCATTCTGTTTCTTGAGAATTCCCAAGAAACAGATTCAGCTCGTATCTTATGTGCCTTCCGTGAGCATTTTGTTGGCTGCTCGTTTCCCACACTTCAGCTTTGGTGGAGGTCAGTTTCGATTCTTAGTGTCTCTGGTTTTCATTTCTCTGCAAAATACCCCTCCCCCCCCCCCCCCCCCCCCTCCCCCCCTTTGGGATCGTCTTTATGCTTTCTGGTGTTCATCTGCAGGGTGAGTTACAGTTCCAGCTAGTCTTTTCTCTTTTTGGTGTCTTCCTCTATCTCTCTTTCCCCTCCGACCTCCCTTATTTGCATGTGCCAGTTCGCCCTAGCAGCAGGGGAGTCGGTGCCAGCAGTGCAAGCAGCGCTGATGAAGGTCTTTGGAACCATTCTGCTGCACCTCATGCCCGCACAGTGAGTGCTGCACCTCATGCCCGCACAGTGAGTGCTGCCCGCACAGTGAGTGCTGCCCGCACAGTGAGTTGGGTTGGGTTCTGCTCACATGGTGAGTGCTGCCCGCACAGTGAGTGCTGCCTGCACAGTGAGTGCTGCTGCCTGCACAGTGAGTGCTGCATTCATATGATGTGCGCATACTGTCAGAATAACACTTGAATCAATTGATTAGCGAGTGGGACACATGGCCTTAAGTATCGGGGTCGGTTGGATAAGATGCAATCGGAAGGGAAATCCAAGAGGATCCAACCAATCCAACCAACCAACCAACTAAAGGAGGATGAAATTTTGGATGGATAGGTTTTGATAGGGTTGGTTAGGTTGGGGATGAAAAAGTCTACACCCAACCCAACCTAAAGCTATACTTGGTAAATTTTGCAAACCCTAAAACTTTCAAGGCTAACACACAAGGTTCAGCCTATTTCCAAGTGGAGGTCCAGTGAGTTGGAACTTTGTGAGAAGTAAGAATCTTTGGGTACCCTGGTTTCACAGCACTACGCGATGCATGCAATGCAGCAGAGTATGTGTGGGATGAATGAAGCGAGTACATTTTTCAGTCAACTCAATAATCAACCGTGTCGACTCAAAAATCAACCGTGTCGACTTAAAAATAAACTCACGATACGCGACAAAGTATGTGTGGGATATAGCAAGTAGCACCACCCACAAGCACGCAACATGCCTGCCACGATACTTATGCACTCGTGGTGTTTCCTTACTCGATTCAAATAAGTTTTGAGACGTCTTGAAAGCTGCGTGTGCACTCTTGGTGACTTTTGACTCGACTTAAAAGTCACCTTCCACTTATTTTTCCAAGTTGCACATGCTGCTGTTGCTGGTTTGCTCCACCCATCTTCACTCCTCAGTAGCAATACTGCACTCCTTATTCATACAGCAACCTCTCATTCCAACCAGCCTTTATCCTTCGATATCCCTCCGGCACCTCACCAGCTTTCCTCCCCTCCCCCCCCAACCCTTCTGCCATGGGCATGTGTGAACGTATAGGACTCCAAATGACCACCGGCACGCCTCACTGCAAGAGCCGCCATCACTTCCATCTTGCTCAACCTCCTCCTCTTCCTCCTCTGCGAGTCTCTTCTGTCATGGCCGCATGGTGCTGCTTCAAGCCTGCTCCTCTTCTTCCGTTCTTGTGAGTGCCGTCACTCCACACTGCAAGAACAATTACTCAGTGCACCGCACCGCACTGCACTGCACCCCATGCGAACCATCCAACCTCTCTTCCACTGTATTGCGCCACTCACTGTGTTCGCCCCACTTTATCGAACTTCTCTCTTTGCATCGAAAACCAAACTTTCGTTGTCTCTGTTACCATCTACCTTCATCTACCTTTGCCAATCTCTAGTCATCCCATGTATAGTATGTTTCTACTTTGCAATGCTGCCATTTGTTTCATCCTTCCTCACTATTCCCCATCCGCCACTCCCCCATCCCCATGCCCCGACCTACTTCCCCCAACCGCAGGTGCGCTCTACTGCAATGTGGTCCCTCGCTAACATCTCAGAGCGTCTGCCGCCCATGCACTGTAGCAGCGTGCACTGTAGCAGTGTGCACTGTAGCAGTGTGCACTGTATCATCGTGCACTGTAGCAGTGTGCACTGTAGCAGCGTGCACTGTAGCAGTGTGCACTGTAGCAGCACACGCTGTAGCACCAGTCACTACAGCAGGGAGGGTTTTGGCACCGCACTGGGCGTTCATGGTCGTGGGGAGCGGAGTGCCGCCTGGTGGGGTCCGTCCGACGTTGAAGCTCTGGCCAGCGCTGCAGTGAAAGGAGCAGGCGACAATGATAAGGTACTGTATGATAATCAAATGATAATGATACAACGATTTTTTCGTGATAATCAGCTGATTATGTTATGAGCAGGTGATAATATCAATAGAAGTTTCTTATGATAAGCACCACAATGGCATGTGTTTATTAATTGTAGTTGCAGAATCTGTTACGACAGTGGATATTTTCCTTCCCTTGCTCCTACATCCATTCTCCATCTCTCCTCCATCTCTCCTCCCAACCCCCCCTTCCCCCCCTCCCCCCCTACCCCCCTCCCCCATCTCTTTCACTACAGGTCAGAGCCAGTGCCGTTCGGCTGCTGGGGGCATGTTGGTGCAACCCTACGGTTTGCACTCGGCTTGTTGTCCGTGTGCGTGTGCGTACATGCGTGTGTGTGCATGGAGTGGTATGAGTGCATGAAATAAATATATATTTCATGCTTATAATGGTGTGTGAATGATGAAACATGATGTCAAGTGTGTGTGTCGAGTCAATAGCGAGTTATCGCTAGTCGCGTATAACGCAGTCATTTTGTGTGTCCCGCGCGGTTTCTATTTTGTCGTGCGCGGTTTCTATTTTGTCACTTGTCGAACGTTCGGCGTGTCGCAGGTGTGTGCAGCAGACCCATCAAGAACTCAAGGATGAGTTTTTTGTGATGAAGAACCCGAGCCTTGGTTCAAGCTTCAAGTGTTTTCGAAGCTCGCCAAAAGGCTACACCTCAAGATATTGAAGATTGTTACATTACAAAGTGTAGTGTAACATTTCAGTTGGTGTAGGCCCTTGTGAAGGGTAGTTTCGAGACCCTTCTTGGTTGGGGACAGTGTGGCACTGTTCCCCATCACTGTACCTCGGCTCTTGGGGTTTGTAGGAGCTGGGAGTCATTCCCAACTCGTAACTCTTCCTAGCTGTTCGTAATTGTGTTTCTAAGACTATGTTGCTGCCATAGTGCCGTTCGTTCAATCTGACGCTGTGTCGTCATTTCTTAATGAAATCGTGCGATCTAAATTGCCTAGTGTAGGCGACGTTGAGACGCTCCAGATCCAAGTTGAATGAGGTCATTTGGAGTTGTGAGCAGATCGCTATGATTGTTTAAAGCCGCTGTGCAGAAATCTGACTGCGCACTCTATCTTTCGTTTTAGGCATATTGAAGCCTACTGTGACTATAACAGGGCACTCGGCCGTTGCTGCTGCTTCTGCCAACACTGCTGCCCCCACATGGATGCAGCAAGCCCTGACAGACCATGCTGTTATGGTCACCACACCGCCACTGCCACATGCCTCTCCTGCTCCTCAACCTCAACCTCAACAGCTACTGGGACTGGGGTAGGGCAGGTGAGGTGCCTCCAGAATAACGGCCAGTGGTGCTGTGGGAGTACTGAACAGGCAGTGCGGGGTGGCACAGCGGAGGCATGTGAAACCAGCAGGGGAAATGGTTGCAGCTCAAGTAGTGGTGGCTGTATCGGGGGAGATCAACAGTTGCAGATGCAGCAGTGTCCCGGTGATAGTTGTATCAGCAGCGCAGCCAATGCTGGATTGATTCCGATTGGTAGACTTGCACCTAAAGCAGCAGGGGCGGCACTAGCAGGCGGGGGTGCAGATGCAGGAAACATTGACATGCATAGGAGGGAAGCTGGGCATCAAGGGACAGCAAGTGCACGGGAGGAGGTGCAGGAGGAGAGGGAGCGTGGTGGTGGAGTGGCGGGGGTGTGGCAGGAGCGAGTGGTTGAAGGCATTCTCTCATGCGCCTTGCAGACCAACCCCAAGGTGAGTGCGTGGGATGTGACAGTGACAGTGTGTGGGGAGTGGGGAGTGGGTGCGGATTGGGGAGTGGGAGTGGGGAGTGGAAAGCGGGGAGCAGAAGAGGAGGTGGAGGGAATGTGTTTGATTGACTGTATTATCCTGATCATGTTCTCTCTACCCGCCCTCTCTCTTTCCCTCCTTCCGCTTTTCCTCCGCGCCCCGACCCTTTCTTCTCGCTCCTCATATATGCACAGATGCAGTGAAATGCGCCTGCACCCTTCTCTTTATCTCTGTTCTCCCACTCCCTCTCCCTCGCTAAGCCATCTCGTTACATCCATCTTTCCCACCCCTCTTCCCCCCCTCCCCACCTCTGCTCTCACCACACACAGGTGCAGTGGAGTGTATGTGCAGCGCTCTCCCTCTTCCTCCAGAACCCCTCCGTGCACCTCCCTTCTTCTCCCTGGTAAGTCACTCGCATCTTTGACGCCCCTCAAAGGGACGCGCTTCCTCTCCATGGTACGTCACTCCCAACTGAATCTGAAACGAGGTGACTTGGTCGACTCAAAAGTCACCTCTTGTCATCACTCTCACACCTGAATTTACTCTCTCCCTGTCGCCACTGTGATTTCCAAGTTACCAACACTGCTGCTCGATAGATTCCCTCCCTTTCTCTACACTGTACAGCTGGCATTTCTACTCCTCTTCGCTCACTCTTGCAGGCCATACCATACCTCTCAAGATGACTAGGTACACATGCGATTAGAGTCGGTTCTGGTGATACTGTCGAGATACATTTTAGCAAGGAGGTTTGGTGATACCAATCCTACTCCTTTTGGCTTTCTCACTTTCCCCTCCCTTTCCCCACCTCTTTCGTGCCTGATTCCCCTAGTCTGCTTTCCCCCTTCCTCCTTCCCCATGCCCTCTTCTCCCTTCCCTCTCCCTCTTCCCCATTCCCCCTCTACCCTCTTCATCCCTCCCCTTCCCTTTCCCCCTCCCTCTTCACCCCTCTCCCTTCGCCCCCCTCCCCCTTCCCCCCATCAGGACTGCTCCCACTCTGGCCACACTGCAGGTGCTCTTGCAGCGCTCTTCCAACTTCAAGATCCGCATCCACACCGCTGATGCCCTCCTAGTCCATCCCCTTTACACCTATTTCCCTTCTCCTCCCCCTTTCCCTTCCCCCTTCCCCCATCAGGACTGCCCCTGTGCTGGCCACACTGCAGGCGCTCCTGCAGCGCTCCGCCAACTTCAAGATCCGCATCCACGCTGCTGCTGCCCTCATCCAGCCGTGCGCCAGGGCGGGTGAGAACGAGTGTTGATAAGAGCTGGGGCAGGTGAGGGAGCTGGCACACGTGAAAAAATGGGGCAGGTGGAAACTGGGGCAGGTGGAAATTGAGGCAGGTGGAAACTGAGGCAGGTGGAAACTGAGGCAGGTGGAA